ACACACACACACACACACACACACATAGCCAGGTATTATGGTAGGCACCTTTAGTCCCAGCTGCTCAGGAGACTGAGGCAAGGGACTCACTTGAGCCCAAGAGTTTGAAGTTGCTGTGAGCTATGACACCACAGCATTCTACTGAGGGTGACAAAGACTGTCTCAAAAAAGAATATATATATGTGTGTATATATATATATACACACACACATACACTGCATATTGGAGTTGTTTCTACTGGCCACTGAGTACTTTAAAATAACTAAAACATAAATGTCATAAATTATCAAGTTTGATTGTTCAAAGGGAACATTTAAAAAATGGTTTGTGGTCTAGAAAATAGCTAAACTATAAAAAGTTAACTAAAATGTTCAGGTAAATGTACAATCTTCAAGACAAAATCAGCTAAGGATAATGCTTTAACCTATTATATGTCTATCCTATTAGTATTCATTTTTTTAAAAACCTAATTTTCCTTAAAAATTTTACTTGAATAACAAGGTACATGATTATTCTAACCACAAAAATAGAATTACCTTCCTTTCCAACATTTTTATACTTTATTGTTTTGATTGATTCAATAGTAAATGTTTTCCTTCATGTTTGTTTCCTTACTTACTATAAACTATTCCTTTATCTGAAAACTGGAACATGTTTAAATTGGAAAATCATTTAAGACCTTTTATATAGCCAGGCCCAATGTCTCTTGCCTATAATCCTAGCTCTGAGAGGCCAAAGCAGGAAGATCCCTTGAGCTCAGAAATTCAAGGCTAGTCTGAGCAAGAGCTAGACCCCATCTCTACTAAAAATAAAGGGATTAGCTGGGGGATGTGGCAGGCACCTTTAGTCCTAGCTACTCAGGAGGCTGAGGCAGGCAGATAGCTTGAACCTAGGAGTTTGACGTTCCTGTGAGTTAGGCTGACACCATGGCACCTTATCCAGGGCAACAAGTGAGACTCTGTTCCCGGCCCCTCCAAAGAATATAAAGACATCCTATAATTGTAGATAAACTGAGTAAAACTAAAAATCTCATTTTTTTCAAAATAAAGCGGAAAAAATTAAACTTAGAAAAGCATACAAAGTGATACCACTTTTTAATATATATACATTAAATCTGAACATTCTGAGAAGTTGATTTACAGAGGCATTAGCAAACATAATGTTAGAAAAAAAGCAAATTTCTCCTCATTTAAAAAATTTCAAATTAAACTACAATTACTTAACATTTCATAAATTCCACACACAGTAAGAAAAATATTGTCCTATGAAATAAACCTAATTTCACTTTTTTCTTTTTTAGGGTGATCCACTGAATATAAAACATAACAGAGACTTTTATATCTTCATTTTCCATTAAGAATTTAGACTACCTGGCTGCAGTGGCTCACGCCTATCAATTCAGCACTCTGGGAGACCCAGCCAAGTGGACTGCTTAAGCTCAGGCGTTCAAGACCAGCCTGAGCAAGAGCAAGACTCCCATCTCTACTGAAAAATAGAAAAACTAGCTGAGTGTAGCGGCATGCACTGGCAGTTCCAGCTACTCAGGAGGCTGAGGCAAAGGTACTGCTTGAGCCCAAGCGTTTCAGGTTGCTACAGCTCTGATCAGGGCACTCTACCCACAGCGACAGGGGGGGAATATCTCAAAAAACAAAACAAACAAACAAAAAGAATTTAGACTAATCAGTCATTTTTATGAAAAAAAGAGGACTGGGGCTGTATAGATAAGAAATCAGTTTTTAAAAAGGGTCAATCTGCTGGCATCCTGCACTTCCCGTAAGAAGGAATACATAAAAGGAGCCAAGAATCTGGAAACCAAGGCTTCTACTCCATACTTTAAACTGCCTTATTAACAGAGGGAGTCAGAATTGTACAGTTCTAGGTCAAAAAGGACTAATTAGATAAGTTGTTTCACAATTAAAGATGCCAGTGATCTTTTTCCATCTTTTTCTCTTTCTACTTACTATATGAAAGCAAAGTGGCAACTTTTGGAAACAAGGTTTAAAGTTTAAGAAATTTTCTTAATGTTTTTCCATAGAACTTGTTTCTCATATTATCTTGACACAAAATGGTTAGTAATGATAAAGACAATTCCATTGACATATAAACAACCTGTGTTACAAACAATATAAACAACAAATGTAGAATACACTGTGCATTCATCTAAGGCAAATATCGTTTGTAAGTTTTTAAATGAATGAAACTTTAATTTTAAAATATGGAAGCATGTCTTTATTACTACTTAATCTGAATAGCAATCAACATAGTCAAAATAAAGATTGATTAATAAAAGACAGAATATAAATACCAATTATCAATATCTCATTTATTTAGAATGACTATATAACCAGAACACATTAAGTATACGATAAAAACTTTGTAGAATGCTGATTATTACAACTCATATTTGACATCTATATTAAATAAAACCACAGAGAAATAAAACATAGAAAACTGAAAAATCATACACAGCTGCTTCCAAGAAAAGGGACTGGGAGATCTAAGAGGAGGAGCCATTTTAATCATTATATGCTTTTGTCTAGTTTGTGTTTTAACCATAAGCATATATAACTTTTCCAATCACAAAAAACAAGGGGCTAGTGAAAAGACCAAAAATTAGTAAGTATGTAAAAGCTCAAATATACAAATTGACGTTTTGGCACTCTTTTTCTGGAACGGCCACCAGAGCTATCTGACAACTAAGTTCCTGAACTCATCCTAGTGCTTTGAAGGGTGGGCAAGGTGCTGGTGTTGGTGCTTCCCAAGGGGGGGTATCTGGAAAAGAACCATAGTGACAGTCGGCAGTGAGGTATGTGGCATTTTTCCTAGGATAAGTGCTTGAACTTACTTGTCAAATGTTATACGATGACAGCTCTGATAGCCATTACAGAAAAAAAAAAAAAAAAGAGTTCCAAAAATGCTTGGAAGGGTGGTGTAGGCAATGGCATCAGTACGTGGCTTCTCAAGGGGAGCAGGTAGGTGACCACGCTGATATTCAGCAATCTGGGCTGAGTTTGTGAGCTTTATTATCCAAACATCTTATAGAAAGGTACAAGTTGCCAATACAAAAAAATGAAATTATTTCCAAAAGAAAATGATGTTAATGGGCCAGATGAAGCATAAATTTGATTCTGTATTCAACAGATTCCAATGTTATTTCGTAGTTGACAATGTGAAAATAAGGGGTTATTTTTAACATATATATATATATATATTTTTTTTTTTTTTTTTTTTTTTTTTTTTTTTTAGAGACAGAGTCTCACTTTGTCACCCTCGGTAACAGTCCCATGGCATCACAGCTCACAGCAACCTCCAGCTCTTAGACTTAGGTGATTCTCTTGCCTCAGCCTCCTGTGTAGCTGGGACTACAGGCACCCACCACGATGCCTGGCTACTTTTTTGTTGCAGTTTCGCAGGGGCCAGGTTTGAATCCCCCACCCTTGGTATATGGGGCCGGCACCCCACTCAGTGAGCCACAGGTGCCACCCAACATAATATTTAAGAAATAAATAAAATAAAATAAAATA